CTCACGGAGTGATGATGCTATCGCATCTGATATACCTAGTAAAGATCTCAGTCAATATTTTATACGTGGAAAAGGTATGGATCAAGTTGGAAAAATCGATACAGATATACTGGATCGCACTGATGATAAAAGTGCTTCTATACCTGAGGAATCAGTAATTCAAGGCTATGCCTCATCTCCAAAAGTAGATACCGAGATTATTACTAAGGCAAGTGATGAAATCGATATTAGCAAAACCAACAACAATACACTCCAAGAATTACCGAATATGGCCCCTTACCTTGCACAGCCAGAAAATTATAATCCCTCTTTGATCGAATCACACTCTCAAATTCCGATAGAGGAAATAGGAGCAATCCCTGCTGTAGCAAGTACTTTGATGTCACCTCTATCAGCATATATATTACTTGCTCTGTTAATTATTGCCGTTATGTGGTTCGTGGTATTGAGATGCACGTGGAATATAGGTAGGCTCTTTGAGCCAGGATTCGAAGAATCGCCTAGGTACGCAAGTGCCATTGTTCCACAGGCCCGAAAGGGCAACCCTAAAGAGTCATACGACCCGCTCCGCAATAAAAAAAGTGACCGGCTATGGGACACATGGACGAGGTATTAGGAACTATTTATTATTATTTAAACTTGGGATGTCTAGAAAAAGAGGCACATAGTGCTTTGCTTCGCAAACATATCTCAAAATTATTCACACCAAATAATATGACTCGCATTTTATTTCATTGATAATACCAATATTAAACATGCATTTTTCTAATTCTTGCAGTTTACTAAAAGTTTCCTCTTGTTCATTAAGCAGAGAATCAAATCTTGTCCTGGGTTCTGTAGTATCTCGAATCGATGGTCCCATTGTAAACATCTCTGGATCAGTCTTAGGTTCGAAACAACTATCAAGATCTTTTATCGCTTTTTTTATTTTGCACCCCAAGTCCCAATATCTATTTTCAAGCTTTTTTTGCCTTATAAAGAACTCGCGTCTCACTTCTTTTTCCCATATAAAATTGATATGAAAACATTTTGCGAGATCCTTTGATACCAGATTTTTGATAATATGCGCAATTAACTCTGGTTGTTCAAAAGGATTATAAGTATGATGCATTTGTTTGATTTATATTTCGTATTCTCTGATTTATTT